TGCATATGTAGCTTATACCTGTACAAGTTTTTTGGATACCCTTGAAGAAATGGGTTTAATTGTGGTTTTTGATTAATTAAAAATTTATTTATTTAATCATAATTAAGGTTTTTAATTAAATAACACTTGAAAACGTTTCTGATAAAGTAAGAAATTATGATCAATGTATTTTTAACCATTTTATTTTATCCCTTTCTTACCCCCTCAACTTTCTCCACCTACGTATAATTCTTTACATATACAAATATGTTTTTTAGTGACACTTGTATAATTGTTTGTTTGTTTTACTTTCGCGCAAAGCTAATCGAAAGCTATCTGCGCCAGCTTTCCCCAATTTAGCAATGGTAAACTGGAAGAAAGGCAGCTAGACAACACCACCTACCGCCATCTTTTGGCGTACTGTTTTACTAACCACCAGACCATGCCATTTCTACATATTGTTTCTCAATCTTTTGTTACACTTGTATTGTCACTATTCACAAGTGTTGTTTCGTGTCCAAGTAAGTTCCACGTTTCACTAACATAATTTTTTTTTATAATTCATATTTTACCCCAGTATCATTCGCCAGTGAAGTGTGACGAAGTGATCGATAAGAGTTGGCAGATTATACTAAAATTCGTATTCCTTTTTTTGTTGTTGTTCACATTTTGTGTTTGGAAGTACAGATTTCTTGAAAACGTAAATCCAAGCCAATAAAAACAGAAGATCTAAACACATGGAATTACATTTATCGACGAATGCTTCCTTTAGTATAGAATTGCTGTTATATAAGATCTTGGCCGAGACTTTTGTGATGTCATTAGGTGAAACTAACGTGGAATGTAGTCATAAATCAGGTTTTCGAGTTCCGCCTGCAAATCCCCCCTCCCCAGACCTTCCTTCCCCACTAGCTTCATTTTGTACATGCAGTGATTAGAAGAGTGACCACGTGACGTCTATTCAAGGTTATTTGATTTACATTTTAAATATTGAAAACCAACAACGAAGAATAAATATCTAAATTATTATCACGTTTAGTTCTGCATCCATGAAAACAATGCATGCTTTAATTAATTTTCGTGTCTCGATTTAACGCGTATAATTGTGGCAAAGAGAAGCCAATGGAGATATCATATCGGGGGCGTACACAATGTACGTGTGGGTGTATGGGTGATGGGTTTTTTTTTCAAACCAAATGGGATCTTTTGGAGTTTTTTAGATATCATATCGGGGGCGTACACAATGTACGTGTGGGTGTATGGGTGATGGGGTTTTTTTTTCAAACCAAATGTGGATCTTTTGGAGTTTTTTAGAATGTTGGGGTGTCGTTCAACCCCACATTCCCCGGCTATGCACCTGTACCATATAGCTCACTCCCTCTCATGGGTGTCTAGATTAGTGTTGTTCAGGAAATGTTTCATTAATACAGTTATTGTAAAAGCATGCAAGTCTTTACATGTCGGAGACAAACGAACAGTCAGAAGTACTGTAACTCCTGTAGCTACCATTCGTGAGAAGTACTGTAACTCCTGTAGCTACCATTCGTGAGAAGTACTGTAACTCCTGTAACTACCATTCGTTAGAACTACT